CCCCAAAACCCCAAAACCCCAAAACCCCATTTGATGAATTATGAAATCAAGATTAAGAATTTAATTTTAATCATTTCCTATTCTTTTTTTAGTTTTTATTATATTAATTTCCTTTCTCATTAAATATTTTCTCTTCTTATTATTCCACCAGATCCCATACCTCCAGATCTCTAAAAAAGATTTAGATTTCTCTTTAAAGTAATATTTTGATTTGAAACTTTCGGACTTTCAAGTCTTTCTTTTTGAATTTATGAGTAATAAACCATTGTTGAGTTTAGTCTTTCATTTTTCTTTACTCCTCCTATCCTTAAAGATTCTTTTAATGCTTTCTCACTTTCATTATAGTTGCCTTTTCCAAACCTATTCTAATTGCTTGAGAGTGCTGTTTGAGCGTCTGGTGATGCTGTAAAATCGCTAAAACTAAGAGGAGCTTTTGACTATCTCGATGCTCTATCTTATTTTATTAGATTATTTTGATTTCTCTTAATCTTATTTGCTATCTTCTCAATATTAGGGTTATCACAACCCTTGATTAAACTATCAATTATCTGGATAATTTGATGGCAGTCAATTTTTTTCTCATTTGATATATTATCGGATGAAGATTTTGGACTTAAAAAACCAAGAGGTGGAGTAGGATGATTTATCTAAGTATTTATTTCATGTTATTCTGATTCCTGCTAAATCATGTTATTCAGATTATAGACAGAAGTTCCCATTTCATTTGTCGAATTTTCAATATTGTTAGTGAACTTTTTAATTGTTATTTAGTGTACTCTCTTATGTTAGGAACTACCAGTTTTAGGTCTTATGTTTTGACTTGCTATTTAAGGTTCAAATCCAAAACTCAAGTTACCATCTTTCATCATTGCTAATTAATTTAAAGATGGAAAGTTGCTTTTATGCTATTACGGAAGAAAAATGATCCTAAATTAGTGTTTATTTAAAGAATTTACTTAAAGAACTCATGATTGAGAATGTTTTGCAGTTTCATTGCATCATAGATATTTTCCAATATTTCTGTGTTCATTCTCTCTCTAGCATCAATGATTTTTGGCTTTTTCTATTCATTAGAGTTTGTGATTCCAACTTTATTCTCACAATTTTTTATTTGTAGTTTCAGCTCACTCATCTAATCTGCTCTGTTGATCTTATCTTTCTCAATATCTGTATGTATCTCCTATATAAATGCAAGATGTTCATTAAGGCAACTCTTAATCTCATCTTTGAATTTCTAAATCTCCTCTCGTATTAGTAAAAGAGTTTTAAACTATTGCATTTCTAGATCTTTCTTGATTCTCTCAATATCCTACATAGTAATAACTAGACTAACATGATCTTCTCTGATTTAATTTGCGAATTCTGGCTCAAGATCCTCTATTCCCATAAGGTAATCATCTTTAAACTTTTCCAGGCCTCTTTCACCTGTCTTAACTTGGGAATCCTACATTGCTGTCATCCTTCTATTATGTGATGAATGCGATCTAGTTCTATTTGGACTTCTATAGTTGCTTCCGTGATAAGCATTAGAGACTGGCCTTGAAACATCAACTTAACTCCCTCTCTTCATTCTCATTATAGAGTTATTTTATGATTGATTTAGCTATTAGCTCACATTGATAGCATGATCTACAAGGGTTGAATTTTTACCAGCTTCTAAGATAGATGACCTCTTGCTAATCTTTTGGAGTTAAAGAACTTCATGCGATGTTGATGATTTTGAGCTTGGTGAGGACTTACTTTCAACAGACGCCTCCTTAATAAAAGGATCATTTGTTCTACCCAGGAACCATTCTAATGATATAATTTTTTCACCCATTTCTGGAATAAAGTCTTTGTTATGGTTTGCAATTGGTTATGATCCAGGCATCATGTATACTCGTTTCTAGAGATTTGGCATGCCTGTATCATTAAGAACTTGCTTATGCCACTCTCTATATTTATTATGCTCAAATTCCTTTAGTTTATTCATCTTTTCCTTTTTTACTACTTGAGAGATTGATTCATTAATCATCGCCTGAATGAAAAATGGCTGATACTTCTCAATGTAGTTGTCAGTTAACATCAAAGATCTGAAATTATCTTGAACAGCGTACTTATTAGTGCGAACCATTTCTGTAACTTCATTAATCTATTGATCGAATTTATCAGCATCTAATTTTCTCTCTTAAACTTCAAATACCAGTTTCTTTAATTCGCCATTCTGTCTATTGAGCTCTCTTTGGTATCCTTCTACTCTATCAATAATTTCTGAAAATTCTCTGACTTTCATTTGATTTCTAATAACAACTAAGTCAGTTTTCTTTTGATCTTCTCTAATTTCCTTAAATCTCTCCTCCATGAAGTTTTTCAAATCAGTACATTCAAGTGCCAGTTTCTCTTCTAGTCTAATTGTGTTCTCTCTTTGCTGACTTATCATATGATCAAAACTTTCAGCCTTTTAAAGCAAAAAATTTGTCATGTGCTTGCACTCATCAACTGTTTCTTATGATTTATCTACCTTCATGCCCATCGTTTCCACTTTCTGTAGTATTGATTATTCAGTGAACCTTAAATCTGCTCTTATTGCTGCTAATCCATCATGAATGTCTTCAAATATTTTCGGCTTAGCCTCATTTAAAGATAAGACATACTCCATGCTTGTCAATCTTTCTTCTATTAATCTTTGTCTCATTTTCGCTTAAACTATAACTTCTCTGTCTTCATTCATTTTTGACAGCACTGGATGAATAAGGTCATTTATCATTTTTCGAGAAGAAGTCTCAAGAGCATACAGATCCAGTTCAATCGGATTTCTGATGCCTAAAGTTAAACATAAAATAGGATAATTGATAAATACCATCAAGGCCATCTTAATCTAGCACATCTGGCCTCTTCTTTTTTTGACTTTTAAAAGTTGATGAATACGTTATATCTGCCATTTCAATTTCTCTTTGACTTTATTTATTCTCTTTCAATTGATCTTAAGTTTTTATTATTTAAGAATTATAGAACTAATTTTAAAAATTATAACAGTAAGCAAAAAATATGAACAAAAAGTTAGATCGTAACTACTATGACATTCTAGAGATTGACAGAACAGCTGAAGATACAGCTATTAAGAAGGCCTACAAAAAAGCTGCATTGATACATCATCCAGATAAGGGAGGCTCAGATGAGATGTTCCAGTAAGTGCAAGAAGCTTACTAAGTCCTTCAAGATGCTGTGAAAAGGGCAGACTATGATAAGGTAACACCTTCATCCATTTTTTCTTCAATTAATGATTATTTTCAGGACTTGAAAAAGTACAATTTGAAAGATGGTATGAAAAAGACCTAGGGAGCTGATTCAAAAGGATTTGCCGGGAAGACATAAACCAAAGCCTAGCCAGAATTTTCAAAGCATCACACTTAGGAATTTGACGATAAAACTAAGTTCAGCAAATAGAATACCTTTGTTGAGATACCATAAAATCTGAGCACTCTTGGAGCAAAAGATCTCAAAGTTATACTTGAGAGTCTTGGCATTAAGAGTGATGATTGCTTTGAAAAGAATGATTTGATTAACAGGATCAAGGAGTACTAAGAAAACAAGAAAAATAAGGGAGCATCATCCAAGCCTGAGCCTCATAGAAGGTAGAGTGATTTCGCACAGCACACTTCATCACAAGGTGCTACAGGCACAAGCTAGAATAAAGAAAATGCAAAGCCGAAAGCATCTGCTTCAGGTGCGGCTAACTAAGGTCCTTATTCATGCATGCCGATTCCAGAGCAGGTTTGCTTCAAAATAATTTCAATAGGAAATCAGGAAGTGGGTAAATCATGCTTGATTAAAAGATACTGTGAGGAAAAATTTGTTGAGAGGTACATTAGTACTATTGGCATCGATTACGGTGTCAAGAAACTGAAAATCAAGGGATAGCCTATTGCTATAAACTTCTTTGATATGTCTGGAAATGAAGATTATAAACTAATTAGAACTGAATTTTATGAGGGAGCGTCTGGTGCTATGATGGTGTTTGACCTCGATAATAGAGACTCCTTTAACTCCTTAATACATTGGGAGGATGAAATGAAAAAGAACGGAGTAGATTCAGCCAGATTAAAGATTGTAGTCTGTGGGAATAAATCTGACTCCAAAGGTCGTGAGATTAACTCGAAGGATGCCTAGAAATGGGCTAAAAACAAGGGATGGGAATACTTTGAAACAAGCGCCTAGAATGGTTCAAATGTGTCTGACGCTTTCTTAGCACTATTCGAGATGTGCTACAACTAATTCCTTGCTGATAAAAAGTAATTCGGTCTGTGAAGTCTGGCTAAACAATAATCTATAGCTTAATAACTAATATAATGAATGATAGCATATCTGTTCAATTATTAAAATTGTAATTCAATTTGGCAAGCATTTTTATCAGTTGGGGTTTTGGGGTTTTGGGGTTTTGGGG